TTGATCTTCCAGCAGCAAGACAACATCACTTTGTGCCCATAATAATCCGGCTTTGGAGTTGAAATTGGAGTTGGAATTGGGATTTTAGCCTTGCTAAGCCATTGTCTTTTTCGAGAAGTGAATCCATTTCTCGTCCATCGTCAAGACATTCTCAAAAAATGGTTTCTTTTCGACTTGAGACGCAAGATATGGCTGATCGAACGGGTGCTCGATTCTCGTCCAGATTCTCGGTGTCCAGATTCTCGGTGCTCAATTCCCCTCGTCCATTATTGATCTTTCCAATTATTTTCAAATGGCGGACAATTGTTGATTGATCACATTGGAGATTTTTAGCAAGCTCTCGTGCATTGGATTATTGGAGTGGAATGCATTGTTTGCATTGAATCGGCTTCAATAAGTTGTTCAAATTCATTATTATCAATCGCTGCCGAGCGATGCTCATTTGGTTCGTCTTCAAGAGACCTTCTCGGATTCAAAACCTTCTCGGAATCCGCAAACCAGAGCTGGCAAGATCTTTCGGCCATAACTTGTTCTCCAAAAGCGGAACAAAGATCACGATGTCAGTCGGTACAGTACCGATAGTCGGTACAGTACAGTCAGCACAGTACAGTGGGCACAGTACAGTCGGCACAGTACAGTCGGCACAGTACAGTCGGTACAGTACAGTCGGTACGCTCAAAAAAACCGTCGAATGTGTTGAGGGTGATTTGTGCAAACGCATCCCTCCAGTGCACTGGACTCATCGTTTCCAGCAAGGTTTTGCTATCAAAAGTATTCGGTGTGCCAGAAAGGATGCGTTTGTAGATTTGCAAGTGCATTTACCTGCTGGGATATTCAATCAAAGCTTTGTTCGAATAGGTCAAACAGCATCACTTCCGCTTTTTCATAAACTTTTCTATCAAAAACAGATAAATTTATTAGCTAAGATTTCAAAAGAGTTTTCTAATTGAGATAATATTTTATGAGACAAATTTTCAGCTAAATTTCAGCTAAATTTCAGCTTTCAAACAAGATTTTTCAGCTTCACGACGTGGAAAGGCAAATATTTGATTAGTGAATCATGGGCAGTTATGGTAAATGGTTATGGCAAATTTTTCATGTATAGAATAGCTTTTACAATCCCTTTTACAATCCCTTTTACTATTATTTCATACTCTCAGCTTGTTGTTGTTTGATGCTTTACAGTTAACAGGGAAGGGATCAAGCGATTATCGAGCGAAGGGGGCGAGTTTTTCGCCAACTTGCAGCGCATTTTTAAACACTTTAAACTTGTCAGATTAGAAAGTTCTAATAAAATTTAAATAGCTTAGAACGTCAGCTTTCAGAAACTATTTGTTTCATCAAAAGTTATTAACAAAAACCTATCTAAAATCGGGCTGCAAAATGGTCAAAGCTCGCCCCTCCCCCGATAACCGCAAAGGTTCGATTTTTGTATAGAACATGATAGAAATTTGGAAAATGTACTAATAGAGTTGTTAGTATAGATTTTGACTTTAATACTTTAATACAAAATGGTCAAAAACTCGGCCCCGTTTGGAGGTATGGGGTTTTGTTTTGGTTTTGGTTTGGAGGTATGGGGTTTTGTTTTGGTTTTGTATGGTTTTGGTTTTGGTTTTGGTTGGCTTTGGCTCCTAAACATATGGTTTTTGCCTAGTACTGCCCAGACGTTGAACATTGCTTAAGTCTAGAGCTAGATTAGCGTTCTCTGAGTTCTGGGTTCTAGAACTACTGATCTACTGATCCTGGAACTATCTATTTTTGCATAGGACATTAGGTACTGGATTAAGTCTGGATTTTCGGTTTAAACTGGATTCTACATTCTATTCTCGAGTCTATTCTATATTATTCTCCATTCTATTCTATTCTAGAGAAGATCCTTATTTCGATGATACGATTGATATTATTACGATGATAAATTTGTTTCTTTTTCTACCTTTTCGATCTTAAACTTGACTAGGTTTAGATCCAGAAATGGGCTGAGTGAAAAAGACTTCAGACTTGAGTCAAACAGACTCCAGGCTTAAGTCAAACAACTCCAGAAGGGGGGAAGAGAGACAGACTCCAGAGCTGAGTCAAACAGACTCCAGAGCTGAGTCAAACAGACTCCAGATTTGATTGAATCAGAATCTGCTCGTCAAGATCAATTTGTGATCAATTTTTAAACTTTCTGTCGACTGTCGATTATTATCTTTCTATTTCTGTCGATTATTTATCTATTTTCTTCTATTAATTTTTCTATTTTTTCATTTATTCATCTAGAGTACAGGTTTTTACAAGAAAGCAAGAGTAGCTCGTAAAACCCTCTAGTCGAAAAGCGTCATTTCTTATGAAAAACCCAGCGCCACTTTGCGAATAAGCTGATTTTGGAGATAAAAAAGGAGAAGAAAAAGAGGAAAAAAGAGGAGGGGAAGCCGTGAATCACTTTGATTACAATAATACGCTTTGGACTTTTTCAGAAATGAGCAAAATGGGTGGGGCTTCAACGTAGAAAACCGAGAAATTCCCGAGGATTCACTTAAAACTAGAAGATCCCGGGAGGAGTTCCGGGAGTCCAAATTCCAAGGGTCGTCACGGTGATTTCATTTGGGTATTTAGTATTTTGCATGACCGTATTTAGTCATGCATTTATAGTGCTTTTGATTTACAATTTCTTTAGATTTATTATTGCTATGAAGCTTGTAACTTTCCTTCTCTTTCTTTCATCGAAAATTGAATATCTATGAGGCTTTTGATTTACTGTTTTGATCGGTTTGATTTGTTTAATCAAACATCTGATCTATTTGATCTCTTTTCATCTTAAACATAATCATATTCATTAAATAACTTCAGAAACGGCTCTTAAAAACCCTTAATTAGATTTGTCGCTAGGTGCACTGCGACTCTCAACTTTGTAAGATCATATAATGATTCTAGAGCCATCAATTAGTTAGAAAATGGGCTTGGCTACAGAAGACATAGTTGAAAATCACCTCCAAAAATTTCAAACGGATTCATTGAGTTCTCGTTGTGCTAGACCCTCAGAAGTGAGTCGCGAGTCGCTAGAATTCGGCGAGTCGCTAGAATTCGCGCGGTCACACTTTAGAGTCTAGCGGGTTGATTCAGATCTGTCTAGTCTAGCGGGTTGATTCAAAAAGTCTAGAAGTCAGACTAGATTCCGTTGGCTTGGTTTGATTTTTGAACAAAGTCAAACCAAGCCATTGCGAACAGGGTTTGGTTTCAGCAACTGCTACAGTTGGAGTGGGGTGTTTGGGGGGGGGGGGGGGGGTGGGGGGGGGTGGGGGGGGGGGGGGGGGGGGGGGGGGGGGGGGGGGGGGGGGGGGGGGGGGGGGGGGGGGGGGGGGGGGGGGGGGGGGGGGGGGGGGGGGGGGGGGGGGGGGGGGGGGGGGGGGGGGGGGGGGGGGGGGGGGGGGGGGGGGGGGGGGGGGGGGGGGGGGGGGAAACTGGTACAGTTGGGGGAAACTGGTACAGTTGGGGGAAACTGGTACAGTTGGGGGAAACTGGTACAGTTGGGGGGGGGAAACTGGTACAGTTGGGGGAAACTGGTACAGTTGGGGGAAACTGGTACAGTTGGGGGGAAACTGGTACAGTTGGGGGGAAACTGGTACAGTTGGGGGGAAACTGGTACAGTTGGGGGAAACTGGTACAGTTGGTTATTACAGGGCTTGGGTTGCAGTTTCACCAACTGTAGCAGTCCCAGGGCTTGGTTTCACCAACTGCTAAATTTAGTTAGCTCGTTTTTATCTGCATGTTTCCATTAACCACTAAATATATTTAGATTCACTCAGAAATTACTCAGAAAAACTCTCTAACAAAAGTGTTAGGGTAAAATTATTAATGAAATTAATTAAAATCATTCACTGGAGCTAAAATGACCTTTGCTGAATGCTAAATTAGTGTTTTTTTTTTGGTAAAACCGGGCCCAGGTTCAGAAGATCCAGAATCCATAGGTTCAGGGCCCATAAAAGTTTAGAGTCATGCCTCTGAACATATCTTAAGCATTCTATCTTGAGCATGGCGTTTAAGAATAGGACTAGTATTTTATAGGAGGTTTAAGAGGTTTATAGGAGGTTTATAGGAGATTTATAGGAGGTTTATGGAAGGTAAATTTAGCATTTTGCAGGTTCAACAGGATGAAGCATCAATTTGGGCACTTTCTGGGACTACAGCTTCTTCAAAATATAAAAATATGATGTTTCTAAACGGAAAACGCATTCTTGTAGAAAGTTGAAATAGAATCTGAACCGAACCAAGAGCTCCAATTGTTTTTGATCATGTCAAAGATATGTGCTGACAAAGAGAAGGATATACTACGTCTATAGGACTTTTCTAGGTCTATAGAACGTCTATAGAACATCTATAGGCTTTTTCTATGTCTATGGGAGGTCTATAGGATTCTTCTAGGTCTATAGAACGTCTATAGAACTTTTCTAGGTTCATAGAACGTCTATAGGCTTTTTCTACGTCTATAGAACGTCTATAGGACTTTTTTAGGTCTGTAGAACGTCTATAGGACTTTTCTAGGTCTATAGAACGTCTATAGGCTTTTTCTAAGTCTGTAGAACGTCTATAGGATCTTTGGGCGTCTATAGAACGTCTATAGGACTTTTCTAAGTCTGTAGAGCGTCTATAGGACTTTTCTAGGTCTGTAGAACGTCTATAGGCTTTCTCTAAGTCTATATAACGTCTATAGAACTTTTCTAAGTCTATAGAACATCTATAGAACTTTTCTAGGTCTATAAAACCTCTATAGGACTTTTCTAAGTCTATAGAACGTCTATAGGCTTTTTCAGCGTCTATAGGACGTCTATAGGATGTCTATGGAATTGTTTTAAGCCAACAGAACGTCTGTAGGCTTTTTCTACATCTATAGGACTTAAAACTTGAATTTTAAGAAATGAAATCATTGAATATTCCTTGTTTTTCAAAATTTTATGTATTTAGCTTTATTCAGTCCATAATATTATACCTTTCAGCAACCTTTCTCATCCAATTCCTTTGCAATGTCCGCCGTTCGATCGAGCCTCTTTTTTGTCCTACTTTACTTAATTGGATCGATAGGTAAGTTGAAAAACTACACAGTACTACAATTATTACTTCACAAATCAACAAAAAACAAAAGCAGAAACTATTCAGTGTGCGAGAGCAGCTCAACTAGCGCTAATCCAACTGCATCAACAACAATGACACCGCCAACGATGACAGCAGCAATCGGTTTGACTCTTCGTTGCCTTAAAGTTATTACCATAGAACTAGAGTAGTAATTTGATCACTCAATACTCTAAACTACTTTGATTGTAGTAGCAAAGTGGTGAAGACGTTTTTATTCGGTGAATCTTGACACTTTTTTCATACTTTCAATTTAGAAATGACTATTTCACCAATTTATTTTGGTTCCCTTCAAATAGAAAATGTTTTTTTGCTGAATTTTCTTTCTTTTTAAACCAATCAATCAATTTCTAAATCAATTTAAGCCCGTTTCCAAGCGAATTTGCGCACAAAAACCGTAGGATTCGCTATTAGCTTTTTACTTGTTTCTATAGAAAAAAAATGGAGATATTATATCCACATATAGTACTGAAACTAATGAATAGAAAAAAGAGAAGAACTTAATATAATAGTATCAGAGAAGAATTATCTAGTCTAGTACCTGATTTATTGATTTATTGAGTGATTTAGGACGAGGCCAAGATGTAGAAATAAGATTTAAGCTCTGGTTCTAGACCAGCAGATATCCTAGACCAGCTAGCCTAGTCCAGCTAGTCTAGACCAGCAGCTAGCCTAGACCAGCAGCTAGCCTAGACCAGCAGCTAGCCTAGTCCAGCAGCTAGCCTAGACCAGCAGCTAGCCTAGACCAGCAGCTAGCCTAGACCAGCAGCTAGCCTAGACCAGCAGCTAGCCTAGACCAGCAGCTAGCCTAGACCAGCAGCTAGCCTAGACCAGCAGCTAGCCTAGTCCAGCAGCTAGCCTAGTCCAGCAGCTAGCCTAGACCAGCAGCTAGCCTAGACCAGCAGCTAGCCTAGACCAGCAGCTAGTCTAGACCAGCAGCTAGTCTAGACCAGCAGCTAGCCTAGTCCAGCTAGCCTAGTCCAGCAGCTAGCCTAGTCCAGCTAGCCTATTCCAGCAGCTAGTCGAGTCCAGCAGCTAATCCCCATTTTTCAGAAACAACCACAGCAATGGATTTGGGTGGAGGATCGACGTCAAATGCAGCTCAAACCTCATCAGCACCAATCGATTCCAAATCTGCCTCCACTGCACCTCCTGTTCCAACAATGGCCACCACCATAGAACCAACGAGCCAACCAACAGCCAGCCAAGGACCAACATCGAGCGGGGATTCGTCGACGATAACAACAACAACAACAACAACAACAACATCAACAACAACGACAACAACGACAACGACAACGACAACAACAACAACAACTCCTACTGCAATGCCGCCCTCATCGCAAACAACAATCGCTGATGGAACTGGTGAGAATACAGATTTTCATTCTTTTTTTAGATCCAAAAGTCTTTTCAAAAGGTAGAATGCCAAATTTCAGATATAAAATTCAGTATTCAGAGATATTCAGTTTTTTTCAATAGTTCTAGGTCAGCTAGCCAGTTTTGAAGTATTCAAAACTATTGAAATGAGCTTTGATCTTGAAGAAATCATTGCCTACTGCTATTTAACGACCATTTACAAAGCCTACCAAATTGTCAAAGTACAAAGCCTACCAAATTGCAAATACTTAATCCACAAGGATCACAGCTTCCGCACGAGTTACAGTACCAAAGCTGAGTACCTATTACTCTGTAAAATGGAAACTATTGTACAGTAGCCCATTTAAGGACTTTATTAACTGAACAATAACACAGACAGACAGACAGGACAATGACAGACAGACAGGACAATGACAGACAGACAGGACAATGACAGACAGACAGGACAATGACAGACAGACAGGACAATGACAGACAGACAACAATGACAGAAAAACAATAGTCAAAGTGCCAGAAGATATCAAGGGTTTTGTAAAATCTCTTTAGTCCACTTATCGCAGAGTAGCTAGCCAAAATACAGAATTCAATCAAAAATAAACACTAAACATTTAGTTAAAACCGACGCCCCTATGCCGACATCAATGGTTGACGATTCGTCATCTTCGTCATCTCAAACTCCTCCAAATTCCCCCACCACAACAACTACCTCAGCAACACAACCGCCTACAACGAAATTTTCAAAATCTTTGCCCATTTTGCCAATGCTTTCTTTTGTAATTGCTTTCCTTTTGCGGTGAACGAGTTGATAAACGAGTTGATGAGATTTTCTTCTTTCCACAAAGAGCATGACCGAGTGGTTAACGCGCGTGTCTCTCAAATGAACAGAAGAGAGGTCACAGGCTCGACTCCTCTAGCTGCCAATTCTTTTGCTTTCGATTGGTAGATTGTAGATGGTAGATTGTAGATTGTAGATGGTAGATTCTAGATGGTAGATTGTAGATTGTAGATTGTAGATTGTAGATTGTAGATTGTAGATTGTAGATTGTAGATTGTAGATTGTAGATTGTAGATGGTAGATTGTAGATTGTAGATTGTAGATTGTAGATTGTAGATAACTGTAGCTGATAGATTGATTGAATTTCGTTATCCTATACACTCCTATACACTCCTATACACTCCTATACACTCCTATACACTCCTATACACTCCTATACACTCCTATGCACTCCTATGCACTCCTATGCACTCCTATGCACTCCTATACACTCCTATGCACTCCTATACACTCTACGTTCAAACACACCCTTTCTGATGCACTCAATTCTGCGTCTCAACTTGTGCTTCTCAGTTTTTGCTTGTGCTTATCAGCTCCCCGTTTTAACTAAAATTGTAGCTTTTTTTTCCGGATTAATCTTCATTGAGACTCCTCAAATATTCCAAAACGCTTCACAATGGCTCCTTTTTTTAATTCTCTAATCGGATTTTGTGCTTAAAATGGACTGGAAAATGGCTTAAAATGGACGGAAAAACTCCCTGGCTTCTTCAGGCACAATGATATCACAAAGTTTAGAATAAACACACTGAAATGTTTAGTGAAAAGAAGAACTGCTAAGTGATCATAAAAGATTTCTGTTGAAAAAGCTTTTGTATACAAAGTTATTTCTAAAGTTATCATACTGCATAGTTGCAGTGACCGTAAATCCAATACCGTACCGTAAATCCAATACCGTATTCCGTAGCTACTTACAAATACAGTAATCCACGAGACTGCAAATCCACGAGACTGCAATTCTAGCCACTTTACAGTGCCACACTTACAGTGTTTCGATAGTACTTAAAGTTCTATCGTTAGAGTTTCAGTATCGTTTTTCTATTGTTTTCTTTTCTATCGTTTCCTTATTAGAATCAAATTCGAATCCTCGATTTCTAGGTCAACAAGAAGAAAGGGGCGTTCACCGGGATCTATCCGGTGTCCTTTCGAGACCCAGACATGGGTAAGCTTTCTTCTTCATGTACTTTGTGATGTACTTTGTGCTTGATCTTCTTTGCGTCCGTGTAAACGGTGCATTTCATTCGTGCATTTCTCTTCTCTTCATGGCTTTATTTTTTTTCATCAATAGAACAAAACGTTTACCGTATTTTCTCTAATAGTAGTGCACCCAGCCGAGTTGGTGACTATTTTACGGTTTCCAAGCTGCAGAAGCTGCAGAAGCTGCAGAAGCTCAGGACTCAAATCCCCCACTAGATCTCATCGTCAGCTACATTTTCCGACCCCACATCAAGAGGTTCTGATAAGCGTTTCTCGTGATTTCGAGCAATTTAGGCGACGCTCAGGGTGCACTACTATTAGAGTAAAATACTGTATCTACTTGACCCTCAATCACAGTGTTCGTCAATTCTACTTGGGTAAACGGCTCATTCATCGTACATCGAAGACTCGGACAAAGCCCCGAAACAAATATTGAGCTCTTAACTTCAAAAACATTTACTAATAGACTTCTTTGTGTTCAAAATGCTTTCCGTTTTGATTTTTCTTTTGTACATCGTTTTTGTTTTGTTTGTTTTTTGAAATTCTGAAGGTTTAAGGGTTGATTTGATAGTAAAGTAGTCAAGAATGAGCAAAAAAAGACCTGTCTCATGCTGGAATCGAACCAGCGACCTTCTGTTTACTAGACAGACGCTCTGCCACTGAGCCAATGAGACGATAAATGGGTTAGAGCTGAAGAGCTTTTGTGGCGGATGGATCTGTAGCTGTTCAAATATGAATGTGATGATGAAGAGTCATTGAAAAAGGAGAAATGGCATTTGAAAAGAGCTTTTTTGTGTGAAATGTTTACCGTATTCTCTCTAATAGTAGTGCACTCTTTAATAGTGCACTCTTTAATAGTAGTGCACTCTCTAATAGTATTTCGGTCCGAGAGGGGGTTGAAAAAATAGTAGTGCACCCTGAAAAATTTGAATTTCTTGTGCTTCTTTTTCATCTAAACCTTTTTGACTTTATGTTTATGACATTCTAAAGCTATTCAAGCAAGCAAAAGTGAGGCTTTTTTTATTCATTTATTAACCCATTCGAAACTTCTGCAGCGAATAATCGCTGCAGCAAAAACTCAGGAACGGACCGCTGCAGCGATTATTCGCTGCAGCGCTAATTGAGCTATTTTCATTCAATTAATTGCTTTTTTTTTGCTGTTTTTCAGCATTACCTGTATATTCCAATTGTAACAGATCTACAAATTACGTGGGCAAAAAAGACGGGTCACATTTACCCCGGAATCAATGCAGCCTCTGGTTTTGCATTGAAATGTTCCATAATAGCTCTAATCTTATAAAGCCGATCTCCTGCAGGATCCAGTTCATTATCACAAAAACGCAGGTTTCGAAGAATAGATTCAAATTTTGCTCTTGACATAATGTGGGAAAATCCTCCTAATCCAGGCCTGCTACTCCAGTAGTCACGAATCCTCGGTAATTTGACGATTCCCATTTGAAGATACAGAGCCAGGAAGAGCTTGAAAGATTTTGCATCGAAATCCTGCCAGTTTGTTTTCCTTTTTCCATGTTTATTAGATTCGCCTACTAAAATATTGTCGTCGATAAAATAAGAACAATAATCGATAGGATCTTGAAAAGTACTGAAGTCAAATCCAAATCGTTCTTCATCAAAAATAAATGGTGTAGGAGACTCTCTCTCTCTCTTCCAACCATCTGGATAAACTGCTTCGGAGTCAAAAATGTCAAAAAAGGGCTTGGTCCGTAGACGAAAAAAAGAAAAAACGCTGCAGTTTCGAATGGGTTAACTATTCTTCACATGAAAAAGTTAGCAAAAAATCTAAAATTGTTGTGCAAAGTGCAAAAACATCTTTTTGTTGTTTCCACACATTGTTTTAGTGGCACATTAACTCAAAGTGGCACATTAACTTTGCTTACGAGGTTCGCGCAAAGCTATAGTCATTTTTTGCTCTTATATACAGGGTGCGTCATAATTATTGCAACAAGAGTTCAAAGATCGTTTGTGATGTCAAGAATGTGATGTCATGGGCGTGTAAAGCCAATAACAATCAAAATTGGACCTTCATGCAAGATGGAGCTCCCGCTCACACGAAGAAGACGGTTCAGGACTGGTGTGTGGCCAACTTTCCCTCAGTGATCACCAAGGATGAATGGCCTCCAAACTCACCGGATCTCAATGTGATGGACTTTTCCATTTGGGCAATCTTAGAGGCTAATGTCTGCTCTCGAAAACACATAAGTTTGGATTCTTTGAAGAAGTCTTTGACCTTGAAGAAGTCTTTGACCTTGAAGAAGTCTTTGACCAAAGGATGGAAGGCGATTGGGCCATCCTCAAGGCGAAGGGCCATCCTCAAGGCGAAGGGCCATCCTAAAGATGACATTCGGGCCGCAGTGGAGGCATATCCGAACCGATTAAGGGCTGTTATCAAGGCAAAAGGCGGTCATATCGAATGATCTCTTGTTTCCTTATTTGTTACTGTTAAATAAAGCTATTTCTGTTTAAAAAATCTTCTTCCAGTCAAACTTCTTGGTGTGCAATGGCTTGAGTATCTTGTTGCAATAATTATGACGCACTCTGTACCTGTATAAAGTTTGAGAATTGCAGCAGCGCACCTTTTGCAGCGCACCTTTTGCAGCGCACCTTTTGCAGCGCTAAGCTTTATTGTTATCAAAACTCAATCCTAGAAAATAATCCATCATGTTCGATTTTAATATTATATAATTTTTGTTAATGTGAAAAGGTGACGAGGAATTTTTGGCATCAGAGGAATGGCTAAATTGGCTAAACAGAGGAATGGCTAAATTTATTCATGTCAAGACACAAATTGTCAACTCACCGGTCCACAACTGTATGTCAAAAGGAGCCAAAGGTGTACGTTAAAGAATTGCAAGAATTTTTGGAACAAATCTTATATCTGTCTTAGTTTGGTAAATGATAAGACTCTTTAATAGAAGTGCACTCTCTAATAGTATTGCGGTCCAGGAGGGGGTTCAAAAAATAGTAGTGCGCACGACTATTACAGAGAATACGGTAGTTGAAAGGTTTCGAGACTATTGGACTCTCTCAAAACTCTGGAGAGTCGATTCGAAATTCTGGCAGTTCTTTTAGGAAAAGAGTTATACCTTTGCAAGAATCCAAAAAATCAAAAATGCAATCAAAGCTACTCAAAATACGACTTTACTGCTAAAAACATTAAGAAAATGCAAAAAAAAATGATTGAATGAATCGAATTTGGATGCCAAAAATGGAAGACAGTGATACTATACTACTAGTGATGCTGCACTTGCTTGGTGAGCGACGGTAGACTCTTACAAACTCATAAGTCACTCATTGCTAGAGTATGTTGATTAAACAATTAAACGAATAAATTTGCATAATTGTTCTTTTTTTAGTCGGTTAATGGCGGTTAAACAAATTGATTTATGCAAATTTTTTTCGAATATTCGAATACCGAACGAATACGAACTTTCGGAAACGATTACGAAAATGTTTTCAAAGTTAAAGGAAGCGGCCTCCTAAGGAACTAAATAGGAACTATCAGGGAGCTTTAAAGGAGCTTTAAAGGAGCTTTAAAGGAACTAAATAGGAACTATAAAGGAACTATAAAGGAGCTTTGAAGAGCTTTAAAGGAGCTTTAAAGGAGCTTTAAAGGAGCTTTGAGGAGCTTTAAAGGAACTATAAAGGAGCTTTGAGGAGCGTTAAAGGAGCTTTAAAGGAGCTTTAAAGGAGCTTTAAAGAAACTAAATAGGAACTATAAAGGAATTATAAAGGAACTATAAAGGAACTAAATAGGAGCTTTAAAGGAGCTTTAAAGGAGCTTTAAAGGAGCTTTAAAGGAACTAAATAGAAACTATAAAGGAACTATAAAGGAACTAAATAGGAACTATGAATAATATTATATTTTTGCTATGCTCAATGATTGTTAAATCATTTTTAAGTTATCTATTTCAAATTTCTTGAAAATTAACAAAAGATTAATGATCGAATTAGCGCTTCATAATTTTAGGACATCCTTGACATGGTGATCGCAAATTATAGCGACACCTTTTTTGGAAAACTTTGCTGGCAAACGTCTGCTGACGTCTGCACGTCTGCTGACGTCTGCACGTCTGCTGACGTCAAGCGTTATATAGAAAACTAAAGCCCTTCATCTTGGCATCATTTTACTACAAAGAACTTCCCGATTCGATTTATACAAATCATTTGACAAGCTCTTCAATGAGCTCAAGGCCACTCACCGGTGATCTGCCATTTTTCACACTTTTCTTAATAAAAAATTGTTAAAAATTTAAAAAGACTCGATATTTATTTTGTGAGGAATGAACATTTAATATTATTTAATCGAAATAAGAATAGGAATAAACTCTTTCTTCAAATTTTCATAGCCAAAATTGAAGTTGATTTCTGGATACATATGGAAACATTTGAAAAAAGGGAAAATTGAGCTTTTTCGAATATCCATTTGATAAGAAGATCTTGCTGGATAAGCTTCTCTAGCAATATTATAAATATTTGATTGATACTTTATTCTTTGTCAGGTTATGGAGAAGAAAGCAGCCGAGGCGTACGCAGCTCCGCCTAGCTATGAAGAGGTCAGTGTTCTGTTCTGTTCTGTGTTCTGTTCTGTGTTCTGTTCTGTCCTGTTCTGTTTTTTGTGCTTAAATGTAAACCCATTCCGTCCAGTGTACCGAATTCTTCATTTTCTTATGTGAAGAAATGAAGAATTCAGTATTCAGTAAGCCAAAAAGTGCCAAAAATGGCAAATTGGCAATTTGACTTGAGCTCATTCAAGAGCTTGTAAGGTGAGTTGTATAATTCCAATCGGGAACTTCTTTATAGATAAATAATGCCAAGATTCAGGGCTTCAATTCTCTTAATAACACTTGCCACCTTTGAAATAAATTAGACATTTCCCAGATACTTTTCCAAAAGTTCTTTTTCGGCTACACCTTTTCAGCAGATTTCATGCGAAACGCTGAAATCAATTCAAAAATCCTAAGTGTTATATA